TTTCTAAAAAAACTTTGTCACATATTCATGGTCATAAAATATATTTGGATATAGACCATAGAAGTCAATCAAATAATATTTTTAACCTTAATGAAATATAATTTGAAAAGTAGTACCTTTAATTTTTTGTTCTACACATGTAACGTGACGCATATAATTTCGTGTCAGTGGCTTAAATTATTCAGTGCAAATTGGTTTTGCAAATATCTTGTTTTCTGGATGCATAGAATTATCCACTCCAGTACGTTTTTTATCAAAAATTTCTTGGCATTAATGAGTCTGCACAGGTATTTTGGGCTCGCTGGCCAATAGGTGCGCGCAAATTTAAATATTGCGCGCTGGTATTTGTTTTGACGGGGAGTAACTGAGGTCTGATTATAGGTTTATATACTTCTGTATGAACCGTATATTAAAAATCTTTTTGTTCGAGAGTGAAAACGTTCAATTCTTACCACTTAACCAAGTAATTTTGACTTATGTAAGTAATGCCATCCGCCGCACGAAATGGACCCTTCGACTGCCGCCGCCAACGATTTGGATACATCGCCATCTTTAACTCCGTCCCCGACGCCATCTTGTATGCCAACGCCATCTGCCGGCCGCAAGAGGGGCCGACACAGCGTAGCAGCCATCTCGGACAATCACCGCCTTACTCTTCATATCCCCTCCCATAAAGAAGGCGTAGGATGGAGAGGTTCATTGTCAGCTTTACATCTGCCCACATTCACGTTGACGTCACCAGATGGTAGTGAGCATCAACGGTCACCGTTCAAGTTTGGTTTGGGGCTTAGGAGGCATTCGCATAACGTTAGTGGAAGATTGTGTGTTGTGTGATAGCCAAAACGATGGGTGGATTGAACTATAGATGCAATTGGTAGAAAGTAGCAAAACACAAAAACAATCCTCTTTGTCTTTGTGTTCCAATGAATGAATTTTCATATCTAGATCCAGTATATAAAGTAAGAGTTTTTTAGATGGGTTTCTGACAGAAGAGCTCGATGGATTATTTGATCAGCCGCTTCTGCCCGAAGTGTGAGATTCTCCAAAAACGGCATACTCACCAAAACCCCTCAATCTTTATCCGTGCGCAGAAGTGCACTACAGCATCTCGTCATGCTGGATTAAAGTAAGCGCTCAAAATACAAATTCTCATATTACTTACAAAGCAAAAAAGTGTTTATATACCTTGATATTTAAAATTTATCTTATTATTGTGAATATGCCACTACAATAAAAATGTAGTTACAAATCCCACAGAAACAGCTAATTTGTTAAAGTTAAGTTAACGCTGACATTGGTTAATGATGTTCAATAATAGTAATGGCATTGCTTTGCTTCTACCTGGTGGTGTCTATAATTTATATCAACCCATTTTTGCATTAAGTGAGTGATGCTAACAGAACAGTATCGATTCTCGAGGAAGGAAATGGCAAGGAGACAGGATTTGTAGTAATGTAATGGAAATGAAGGTAGATGCAGGTGGAAGAGGATACGAGGATCGAAACTAATGCTTGTGATTTCATATGTTTATGTAACCCAGTAACAACCCCTGTTTGTTTGAATGAAAACTGATATGACTACCAGTACAATGGAGTTATGCTTGAGTTCGTACAACCCGCATATAAACTATGTGTATATACATGAATTTTATATTTTGAAATATATATCTCGAAATACCTTCCATCCCAATATTCTTGTACCTCTACAATATGGATTTGAAGTAAATACTTACTATGATAATCAAAACTGATCGTACAAAGTATACTTTAAAACATTAAAATATGTGAGCATTCATATTTTTCTAAAACACAAAAAACGTTCGAAGAAACGTTCAAAGTATTGTTCAATAGTTAAATAGTAAAATCAGTGATTTGGCTTTAATCTTGTCCCAAGTCCCCCTTTCCCCTGTATCCCCCTATAGCCCCACGGTACCCAATGGGTGTTTAGACCTTAGGCCTTCGTGTTAGTTAGAATATAAAAAAAGCCGTCACAAGGTCCTCATCGCTAGAAAACCGTTTTCCTTTTAGCTTCATTTTCACATGCCGAAACAGTGCAAAGTCGCAGGGAACAAGATTTGGACTATACGGAGGGTGCTCAATAAGTTTGAGTCCAGTAGTGGTTAAATACTCGGTGCAGGCTTTGGCGCGGTGAGCTGGAGCGTTGTCATGGTGGAGGTACCAAGTGTCCATTCATGACTTTGGCCGCAGGTTTTTCATAGACTCTGTGACCTTAGGCAAGCACTGTTCCGTGTACCACTTAGTTGTGACTGACTTCTGTGTGCCCAAAACGAAGCTCCACAATCCCGCTCGATTTGAAAAATACAGCTATCATTTTTTTTAACAGATCGGGATTTTCTGACAGGGGTGTGTCCTCATCTTCAAAGACTCAGACCTTGTTTTGAACCTTGGTCGGCACATCGTAATAATAGCGCCAAGTCTCGTAACCGTTCACGATGCTGTTCACATCCGAGATTGTCCCTTATCCAACATTTTTCGGCACCAAGTCGTACGACGAGTCTTGTGCTCTTCCGTCAGACTATGCGGTACCCAGAGAGAACAAAGTGTAAATGTACGTGTAAATGGTCTCCTCTATCTGTTGGTATGTCACTCTCCGGTCTTCGTCAAGCATTTTCCTCACAGCAGTAATGTTTTCATCTGTTACTTACGTTCGCGGCCTTCCTTCTCTCTCAGCGTCTTCCAGAGTGAAATTGCCCCTTTGGAAAACTGCCGTTATCTCACAGTCCGTACTTGACATTGTCAATACCGATGAACAATTAAATCAACAGACGTGCTGCTGACGGCGACTATGCGCTGATGGACATGTCTCAACATGCAGTAACATGCAGCCTCCTGCGCCCGTTTGTCAAGTCATATTGCAAAACTTTTACAGTGCCCTTTGTATATTCCAACATGGAAGTGTCAGATCAAGTCACTTATGTTACGTACTTACAGTCAGGATTAGATCAGAAAGGAATCATGTAACAGATTATTTATTTTCCAGGATGATCGTCCTAATTGAATCGTTGATTCAAAATTTAGTTGATAAGTACAGTGGGAGGCAATGGAATATCATGTCCTCAGTGTCCTCACTGTATAGTGCAACTTACTCAATTATTTTGATGACTTACCATCTAGTTTAGACAACTTGCACCCACTAAAGATTCAAACAGTTACTCATGAAGATGTACCTGACACGTTGCCCCTTTTCGATATCCCCTTACAGTCAAATTCAACAGCACACTAAAATTATTTTGGCAGCGAGGGCCTCCTGTCTCATTAGAATCCAATAAAAGTCTTGAATACATTCCAAAATAAGATCATTGCTATTAAATGGACCGTCTCCATCGAATATGGATCATACGTAGAAGCTCTATAAATTTAATTCGTTTAGCTTTAGCCCTGTGAATTTTGCAATTAAGAGAAAATTGTATTCGTTTTACTCAAGCTTGGATGCTGTATCATGAAAGCATGAATATACCGTTGTTCATAAATCTTTGATCCAAATGTTTAAACTCAAAGTAATAAATTTCACTCTATTTTATATTTGTCGCTTTTATGACTACCTGGACTATAACACATGTGGTAGTTCTAATTTTACAGTGTCAAAAATGCTATGTTTATAAACACCGGTTGATGCAGCTACTTGAAGTTTGTATATTATATGCAGGCGTATTTTACTAGTGACTGGTTAAAATTCAAAATGCACGTTTTTCTTCACTATAAGGTACTCGTAAAATGTCTATCAAAGTTAGCCACCTCTGCACACCCATGTATTCTGATGCATGTTATAATAAAATATAGTCAGTATGATTTATCGACTTGTAACTATCACTTTTTCAAGATTCACTTTTGGTAAAAACTGGAGTGTGCCAATAATTTTGCGCCTTTTTGTTTAATTTTTCACTCCACTGTACGTAAAGGCAGACCATTATAACACAGAGTAAACCCAAGTCTGCTGTTGTTTAGTTTGTTTTTTAATATGTCAGGGGAACACTTTCTTGGAGACTATTAGGATTACTGTAAACTCTCGAAATATCAACCATTATTAGGAATACTTATTTTTCTGTTTACTTCAATTGTCAGGAGCAAGTCAGATTATACACAAACTGGAAAGCCGATGTAAATAGTTCATTTTGGTTTACCCTGAATCGGTCCAATAAAGTGGCATACCTCACTATTCAAAATGCATGTTTTTGTTATACATTGGGCGCCTTCAGTAGATGCTTCAGTGTTCATTTGATTCGACAGCTGACATAAAGGGCTATAACGTCATTTTCTGATTGCGTCCAATGTTAGTTATTGTGCATTTACCCTTATACATATACAGCTAGTTGCTACTAATTTTTCATACGTGATATGCTTCGGCAAAACAGTTTGCAAATTATATTAGATTTTCAACTGTGTTTTAATATCCCTGTTTTTAAATTAAACCCCCGTTTTGTTAGAACTAACAGTATTAGATTGCTGTTTTCCAAGTTGGTGTGTTAATGAACGTTTTTATCCATGTATATTGATCTTACAGGCAACGGATATATCCGCAGTGGAAAATGTGATTTTGCATACATTTTAGTTAAATTATGACCTTAATCTTCTAATGGAGAACTCATTAATGCTCGGTAGGACAGTCGTGGTTGGCAAAATACCAAAGGTATTAGGAAGACGCTGTCGAAGAGGGAGGGATTGTTTTCCAGGTGTATACATCTGCATCCCAATAGTATATTATTCTCAAGTTTGCCTTACCGTCTATATTAAAGCCAAAATCTATAAGTTGGCTACTTTTGCATTTAAACTTATATTTAAGTATAAGGGATGAATTATTAGAATCTCTGTTGCACGTTTGCACCTGATTCAAGGCGTACTTTACGTGACTTCTCAGTGAGAAGCACAATATGTGATGCAATTTATTCATGATTACAATATGCTCAGAAAAAAATAGTGTTGGCAATACTATTAATTGTGCTGAGGATTAGTGATTCTAACTGTTTTTTTGTTTTGTTTTAGACGCTGCAGCGTACAGAGTCCATGGTCTCACTCTGCTACCGCTCAATTATAGGTTTCGTAAACGATGACAACTTACAAGGACTGCAATCATTTCTTGAAAATAAGCAAGTACAGGTCGATGATAAAGATGAAGTGAGTATTTTTAGATGTAATGACAATTGAATAGCGTTTTAGAACTGTAAAGATAATGTCAATGTCTAAGACGTCGGAATTAGTACTTATTTTGTGATGGGCTCGACAACAAGAACATTCTGAATTTGCAAAACTCCAAACGATAAATTGCGCTGATCGCTATCTTGAAATCATATGCATTTTAGAAAAGTATACTTCATCGAAAATGAGAATAATAATAGTAATAATAATCGTCTTTATTTAAACTGTAGACAAAAACAAGAGTTGCATATGGTGGCAACATGTTAAGTAGCAAATATAAAAAATAAAAGACATGTTGCACAACAGTTTACTACATGTACTCGTACATACACAAATAAAGTAAAAAAAAAATTTAACAATATATACGTAGATCAGAACAATCTATTCAATCTATGGGTCCAAGCAGATATGAGATTTAACAGCTTTCTTGAAGCAATTTAAGGACATATTTTTGAATTCAGGACTCAAACTGCTGCACTGTACGTGAAAGAAAGCTGGAATAAAGCTGTAGAGTGAACAGGTGTAGTCATCAACGCTTAAAGATTAGCTTTTTTCTTAAGTATATTGGTTTTATACATACGTATTAGTTTATGAATGAATACCAGGTAACGATATTTGACAATATCTTTTGTTTTATAATAACTTTTTGAAACACTGATAATATAAAAAATATCACAGTAGTTGAAAATGGACATAACCAAAGATGAGCACATTTTTTTTCTTAGTTTATAATTGAAAATTGCTTTATTGAGATATAGTGAACTCAGTCTCAAGTAGGTTTTCTATAACAGGCTTTTGACGTGACTGGTGAATCTGAAGTTTGAAATCGATGATTACGCCAAGAATTTTAACCTCATCAACCAGGTACAGATCTGAACAAAAAAATAACTGGCTGGATTTACCAGGACTTATTGACATGTGGTTATTCGACAATTTTTGAATATCATGGTTTATTGATGCCTACACCATTTCTATATCATCGGTATCAAAAACGTTTCTAGAAAACTAGATTTTTGTTTCTGTCAATAATTAATACACACTGCGATCGATTTGATATAACCTACGAAAAAAGTTTAGTGCAATGGGATCTATTAACTTTGCTATTAACAACTCATGATTTATTTTATCACATACCTTGGAGTAATCGATTGGCATCACTGCTTCTCCCATTCTTTTATCAAGTGCTCTAATAATATTACCAACCAAGTTAAAGAGGTAAGTAGTTAGTACTGAAAGATTTCCTAAAAGCTGGCTGATTATATGGGATGATATGTTCCTCTGTATAATGCATTAGTTGTATGTAATCTGCCTTTTCAACTACCTTCGATAAAAATGGTAATGGGCTTATAAGTTTTAGATCAGCAAACTCATCTGGATTTGATTTTTTTGGAACTAACTGATGAAGATAATCCTATCAAAAATACAACGGCTGTGCTTTTACGTGATTGCGATGACATTATACATGTGGAGTATTGAAATATCTATATATACCAATTGTACACTTGATATTTCTTTGGGAAGTCGGCAAACGTTTTACAAAGTACTCTCTTTTAACTTAAAACTCAAGCTTTCGATGGTCTATGCCATCATCAACAGGATCTAAAAACTAAATTTTGGAAATAGCAACAATAAGCAATTAGGAGACGTTTCATTACCTGCTAAGTCGGCGAGATTGTTGCTGAAATTGTTCTTAGACGAAAGTGGATGAGATCACATAGTGAACTAACAAAAGCTGGATTTATGAGGTGTGATTAGGAAAAATTATTATTAATCACTGGAAAACCATAGCTATGCTTTTCGAAAAACCACTAACGGATTTAGAAAAATTAAACATTTATTAATGATTGGAAATCTCTAATTCCTTGAACGACCCTATATAATTCGCGGATATTTTGACAGCTTAGTAATCTGGTGGGGCTCCACTTGTTCCTGACCATGAAAACAAATAAACTGATCTTGAACACTAGAAACGAAGCAGCCTAATATTTTCGTGAAGCTTGATGCTTAAGCTGAAAAAATATGCTCTTGTCTGATGTCCATGAAAACTGGTCTTGTGACAGTACATTTTTATCAATTTTGGCAATGGATCCAGTATATTGGTACCGCCAGTTTTAAAATTTTCAATCAGCGACCCAAACATCCCTAGATATAAATTAGATAGAGATAAATATAGATTTTTTGGACTTTTTAAGGACTGCACAATAAATTGATTACTGGAACAAGACTGTTTGACTGTTTTATTGTGTTCTGGTAGCAATAATTACCACTATCATTGTTTTCAGAATGGAACCACCCCACTTATGGTGGCCGCAGCGAAGGGACGGTCATCGCTTGTCCGAGAACTGTTAGCCCATGGTGCTGACCCTAATGTAGAAGACAATGATAGTTGGACAGCTTTACTCAATGCTGCCAAAGAAGGATATTCTGATATCGTATTGCAACTGCTGGAGCACAATGCAGAGATCGATCATCGTGATATGGTTAGTGGTAATTTGGAATGGTATAATCCTTAGTTACCTTCAATAAATGCCTTAAAAGTTGACTCCCACTTTGAAGCTTTTTTTTATATTTCTGAGCAAATCTCCGCCATCCGTTCAATTTTCTGAAATGTTCTTCAAAGCTTCACGCCCACTGAGGGGAAGGAAAGCGATTTTTGTCTTGCGAAAGTGTCAATCAACGATATTCGACAATGAAGTCGGAAAGAGACTGACGTCGCGAGCTTGAGTCGCTTCTGAGCAGAAGCTCAATGTACTTTGTACCTTATTTGTGCAGATTTGTATAACGACTATGATACTTCGTTGACCAATACCCTTCCATGAATCTGACGTTTCACTGTATCTCATCAAATGTGCTAAGATGCGATCTCAGTATTACAAGGACTGTCCAATTAAAGATATGAATGTTGAACATATCGAATATTGAAGGAATGCTCAAAGTAGAAAGGTACGCTTCACAGTTATTGCAACTAAAGCAAATCATGATAAAACTCGGACTTTTAGGTTCCACAATACCCAGAAAAGCTCGATCCTTTAAGTCTCAAAATAAGGGACACAAACCTAAAATTATAACACCAAATAAAATTCACAGGAATTCATTTTGATTACGATATTAGCTTCAGAACGCACTGCGACTTTGTAGTTGCAAAGTTAAATTCACCGACATTCATTATGAAACATTTGAGAGCGGTTCTGACAGAGCAGCAATCTATAACAATAGGTATATTATGCTCAAGTGAAATCTTAATTGAGATAGGACCTATGCTTCTGGGGCTGCTCATTGTATGCTAAACATGTCTTCAAGTCTCAAACAAGTGTTTTAGGATATATGGCGACTCGAGGCATAGTTGTAGGGATTTGTTCAAAAAATACCGTATACTCGCCCTAGGGGCATTTATTTTCAAAATGGCAACGTACACCAACCAACAGAATTTTTTACTAAATAAGCAGCTCCATGGAGTTGTGTAGAGTATAAGGCAAAGCGTTCATCCAAATATACCTTTGGCCAAATATAATTCTGCACCAGATGTGTTGGGACCTAGAATTTGTAATGAACTTTCCCAAGACATTAAGTGCAGTCAGTCTATCAACTGTTTTAAAAAACGTTTGAAGGAATATAAAATATTGTTACGCCATCAGTGACTTCATTAGCTTGTAAATATTTCTTCTTGACAAATCCAATACATTTATTTTCATCTCAGATGGATAATAAATATTATTATTATTAAATACTTGATGATCATACACTGTTTACCACGATACTTCAACTCGTTCTGACGTTATTCAAGCGTACCCTTGTGTTGAACCGTACTGTTGGAAATGGTGAATCTTGATTGATTGAAACAAAGTAGTGTTTAGTTGACAGCTGACTTGTAATGACGTGAACTGTCGTTCTGATTGTATACAATATTTTCCCTAGTTTCTTCATCTAAACACAACTCTAAGCACAAAAACGTCGGCGTCGCTATTAATTACGAAACAACACAAGGAATAGATACGTCTGTTACTCAGTTATAATCGGAATTTTGAATATTACTGAATCATAAGCTGTTATTTGTTTTGACGTGTTGCTCTATCGTGGAAAACAGTTTAGCGACAACAATTTTATTTACATGTGTGTATATCATTTGTTTTTAGGGAGGGTGGACTGCTCTTATGTGGGCTACCTACAAAGGTCACACGGAGACCGCCTTGCTCCTCATCGAAAGAGGGGCAGATGTCAATGCTCATGGAAACTATCATGTATCTTCCTTGATATGGGCGGCTGGTCGTGGTAGAACTGAGATTGTAGATGCATTATTAAGGCATGGTGCTAAGGTAAATATCTCCATATGAATATTATAGGCTCAATAGAGCCTGTTTTTTCCATCTCCGTGACCTTAACCAACATATACTACGTTGTTTCTTGATTTTAGAAATTATTATTAGGGTATATGTCTAGTCATTGGAGATAGACAACGGAAAGCACACAAACTAATATAGGTCGCCTATATGTGATTGGCGACACTTGTCCAGTTCATTGACGCGAGCTATCAATCAGAGAAACTGTAGTTTTCTGCTGCCAGCGTAGGAGTCAGTAGTAACGTGTTTGGCTCATAGGTGGCAGCGTCACCTCTTTGTGAACTTTGTAGGCTAACACGCTATTCACATCAACCTATTTCATCCTGTTATAAATTCTACTAAGTAATTTATTGCAATTTGCAAGGAATAAAATAATGTTGCCGTACGTTCGTTTCTTGCCTGAAATTGTGTTTATTTTAATATGTTTATATCTAAACGGTGCTAACGCTTGAAAATGACTGACTATGTGTACCAGTCTTCAGTTCCAGACTTTTATATTCATATATATTTCATGATGTGGTTACTTCTTAGGTGAATGTAGGCGATAAGTATGGTACAACTGCTCTGGTTTGGGCTAGCAGAAAAGGCCATACAGAAATTGTAGAGATGATACTCCGAGCAGGTAGGTAGAGTTATCAGTCGATATAAATTTTAGCATTTTGAATTTGTAACATTTATTTACAAACTATGTGTTTGTAGATGGTTTTAGCATTTAGCATTCATATAATATGATTCTTACTGAAATGAAACCTTTAAAGGGTTATAGTCACTAGCACTCAATTGCTGGAAACCTACTAGTAGCACACCGACTAGCAGCCTATAAATCAGCATTTTTGGTATGCTAACGTCTGTCGAATTCAAGTTGAAGTCTTCATATTAAAACACTTGATTCCAGAACATTTTTCTGGAAAGATTAATTAATATGAGATATTTACTAGTATATCCGCCACAAACTTTCTAGAGTATCACCGAAGCAAGATCTGGGAAAGTCACTTTATGTTATTTGCGGAATGTGACGTCACTATAGGAGCACCGGATATAGTTTTTTTGAATACCAAAATCCATTCTAGGTGTGACGGATTTTTTAATATTTTCAACCAAAATGTCATTTTGTCATCTTCACATAGCATTTAAGGTCGCAGGATCTAGAATACCCAATTACTAACCTCTGTAATGTTGGTATTGGCACATATTGGCCCGGTGTAAAGAGAAGCTCTTATGAATAAAACATTAAACAACCTTGTTTTAGGTGCGAACGTCGACACAGCAGGCATGTACTCGTGGACTGCATTACTGGTTGCTACGTACGGCAATCACATAGACGTAGTCAGCTTGCTTCTAGAGCACAAGCCAAACGTTAACGCGCTAGATAAGGATGGCTGCAGCCCGCTCACGATTGCTTGTAAGGAAGGCTACTACGAAATCGCTACTGCGCTAATGGCAACTGGCGCGTACATTAATATACAAGTAAATATTCGTCGTGTGGTCTCTCTGATAGTTATATATTCCATTTCATTCCCACTTTGTGTTTTAGTAGTTTTTCTCTTTGTTTTCTCATATCCAAGTTGAGCATGCTGCACTGTGAAAACTTGGGATGTTGAGTTAGGTAAAAATCCTATTTCAATAGCATGTCATTTAGTGTTGAGAGAAGTTGTTTCATAGTGTCCATTCGCGTATTTTTCATTCATTTTATAAGTACAGCAAATAGAAAGCAGCTCAAAAACACGTCGATGTTAGTTTTATGATTAACCCTTTGTAGCCAGGTTTTTCTTTTTATTATAAAATGGGTCAGTTTTCATTATAAACATATTGTCCAATGACGTATGTAGTCACCACCGGTATTACATAGCCGGTCATCATACAGGGTTTTCATTTGAAAACTTCCCACCACGGAGTTATCGAAAAGCACTGACTAAAATAAAAACCGCTGAGACATGTCAAGGGGGACAACTTTTTAATCAAAAACTACTTCATCCCCTTTCACGGTCGGCCCCCCAGCGTCATTCCCTTATAAATTTTAAATGACAAGGGGTATCGAGTTATAGCTTGTTGGAAAGGTCTTTCGAAGTCCTTTATGTTGACGTAAGATTTTTTTTCGTTTCTGAGAAAATTAGAAAAATCTTTATTTATCTTAAATTTTCCAAATAGAAGACAAAAACACGAAAATATTACTTTTTATTTCAATAAGTGTTCAAAATGTTGCCCGTTATGGTTTGCCAAATCTACAATTCGTTTATAATTTAAAACGGAATATCAATTCGGAAGGTTAGACAGAAATAACAACCCGGTTTTTTTTCCGCATTCTTTTCATCAACACAGACATTCTGGCCGAAGTGTAATTATTGTTATACCTGTTTAGTTATTTGTTGCTAAGGGAAAGAAAGAATTTAATTTGATGTCTTGAGATAGTGAAAACTAATTTATTGATTCAGATTTTACTTCCAAAATGGTTTACACACTAGCCGAACGAGTGGAAATGATACTAATTAAGGGTGCCCAAAATCATTGTGCTCTGCAAACTGCCGCCACGTTTAACGCCAGACATCCGGGGAAGATAACTTCGCATGGGTATGTTTTGGACCTTGTTACTAAATTTACTCAAACTGTATCTGTTGCAAATAAAAAACGTGATCATCGGCGAGTTTTGGATGAAGCCGCTCAAGTTGAAGTTTTGGGGGAATAAATCCTTATACTTCATTACGCAAAATGGTTGCTGCGACTGGTATTTCATTAGGCTCTGTACACACAGTTACTAAACTCCATAAATTTCATCCATTCAAAATGAAAATATTGCAAGAGTTAACGAATATGATTTCGATAGGCGAGTTGAGTTTTGTGAACAAATGACTCATGCTTTTGTAGAAGGGCATACCCAGTACCCCCAAAAAATTAATGTATGGGCAGGCATTTTAGGAAACACAGTGTTTAGACCATTGTTTATTAATGGAAATCTGAATGGAAACATTTATTTGGATATGAAACCATTGAAAACTAAATCTAAGAGGATGGAAACCCTATACTTGATGAGGCTGAAATATATTTCCAGCAAGACGGCGCTCCTCCGCACTATCCTCTTCCGGTTCGGCAATGGCTAGACGACGAGTTTCCAGATCTCCTGATTTGACGCCTTTAGAGTTTTTCTATGGGGCCGTTTGAAATCTATTGGGTTTACTGCCCAACCTGAAAGATTGGATGAACTTCGTCAACGCATCATCGGAAGCTGTCATGATATCCCACAAGAAGGTTTTGAAAATATCCGACAGGAATTTGAACATCGCCTATATCATTGTTTGGCTAATAGCGGGCAACATTTTGAACACTTATTGAAATAAAAAGTGATATTTTCATGTGTTTTTGTTTTCTATCTGAACAAATTAAGATAAATAAATATTTTTCTAGTTTTCTTGAAAACGAGTCTACCGATTTGAAAAATCAAACGTCAAAATAAAGGACTTTGAAAGGCCTTTCAAATAAGCTGTTACTCGATACCCCTTGTAATTTGAAGGGGATGACCCTGGGGGGCAGAAGGTGAAAGGAGGTGAAGTAGTTTGCGGTTAAAAACTTGTCCCCCTTGACAAACATTTTGACGTGTCTCACCGCTTTTTCTTTTAATCAGTGGTTTTCGATAAATCCGTGGTGGGAAGTTTTCAAATGAACACCCTGTTTATAGTGTAAATAGCAACACTGGCTTGGTGATCGTTGCCTGCCTGCCTAATGGAGAGATTCGACATGTAACTTGACATTTACACTCTTTATGATGAAGATTAATACTCGTTGTAATATATATATATATATATATATATATATATATATATGGTTGTTATCCTGCAGGATATGTTCCTTCCAGCGGACTAACGAGCACTTATGCTATATCAAAAATGAAGGTTGTAATCATTTTTGAACTTTACTCTTATTATACCAAGATAAAAAGAATTATAATAGCATTGTTTGCTTTAAATGGGTGGGTAGCTGAACCGTCCCAATATTTGATGAAACTCAGCAAAACAACCTTTTTCGTGATTGATACATTGCAAGGTGTACGTTTGTTTCCGCAAGGTGCATGTGAAAAATACCAGCTGAGCCATTTTGTTGGCTACCTTTTTGTTGGTGGTTCTCTAATAAAACACAACCAGTAGTTATCGTAGCAATGTCAGAATATCATCAAGACGCAAGGCTATGATGAATCCATAAGACCAGCAGGGCTGAAAGGATTATGTGATTTACAGGGTGTACCCGACAGGATTTGAAGTTCCAAAATACCGCACATTTTAGGGAATATGTTTTTATTGAAAATAAATGATCAAGTGTGCGCACTTTCTTTCGAGTTAGGGATATTCCTTTGAGTTTTGCCGTAAATTTCGCATTTGGCAGTAAGTAGTCGATGGGTGTCAAATCTGGCAATTGCGGTGACTATGCAGTATCACCAAAGTAAATATTCGAGACATTTTCTTAATGCGAGGGGCTTAACTATAAGTGATGCACTTCCACAAAAGCTGACGTCTCTGTTTGGTGATATCGCATTTCCACTGGGATTACCAAAATTGACCTCTACACATGTTTTTTCGTGGGGTACCTCATGAGCAAAAACATGAGTACTCCAAAAATATGGCTGATTTGAAAAAAATATAGTTATGCCGTCAAGTAAGCAAAATTGAACTCACTATGATCAAAGTGTTATGGAAAAAGTGATTGACAGATTCTACCAGTATGTGCAATGAAATGGAGGACGTCTGCATGACGTAATCTTTAACAAATAAAATTCGTACATTTGGTGCCTCATTTTAGGTGTCCTAAATATTATGTGTATTAAGAATGATCAATGTAACCTTAATTTGTAATAGGAGTATGGGAAAAGCAAACAACTACTTTTATATTTATTACTGAGGGCTAGGCGACTTACTCGTCACCACTTTTCTCGTTACTGTTGAATTTCAAAATATGTTATGCCATGACTGAAATCGTACTGTCTTTATTAGATCTCTCACTTCCAAAATTCATAAAAATCATTTGGTTTCATGACGTCTCTAGTTCGAATGGATACTGTGAACCAGCTCTTTCAAAACTAGACTTCAATTCTCTATGTTTTCACTAGGATCGCTCAGGAGACACAAACCTCATCCACGCAGTTAAAGGTGGTCACAGACAAATTGTAGAAGCGTTGCTGAAAAAATACGCTGACGTAGACATTCCAGGGAAAGAGCGCAAAACTCCGATTTACATAGCAGTAGAGAAAGGAAATGTTAATATAGTGAAGATACTTTTAAATGTTAATCCAGATTTGGAAATAGCCACTAAGGATGGTGATACTCCACTTTTGAAAGCCGTCAGGTCGAGAAATGCTGAAATTGTTCAGATATTGTTGGATAAGAAGGCAAAAGTGTCAGCTGCCGACAAAAAGGGAGATACTGCATTACACATAGCAATGAGAGCCAGATCAAAAGCAATAGTAGAAACGCTGCTGAGGAATCCTAAGAATAGCCAGTTACTATACAGACCGAATAAAGCCGGAGAAACACCGTATAATATTGATATGAATCATCAAAAGACAATTTTAGGGCAGATATTTGGATCCAGTAAGTAGTGTCGAATTAGTGACAGATTTTTATTATTTTTTTAGTATGTCGACAGTTCTCAGCCAAAAACGTGATTTTTTACACGTAGTTTTCATTGAGTTTAAATGCTTATTCAAAATGCTTAAGGGTGAATCAACTACTTGTATAGAACATAATTATCAAAACAATTTTTGGAAACACCTTTATATACATGTTGAAAGTAATCTAATAAGATTTTTGAATACCCAGGATGGCAGCTTATGGTTGTGTTTTGCTTTAGGGAGGTTGAATACAAATGAAGATAACGAAAACATGTTAGGATACGATTTATACAGTAGTGCTTTGGCTGATATTCTGAGCGAACCCTCGCTGTCAATGCCTATTACAGTTGGGTTATATGCAAAATGGGGTAGTGGGAAGTCGTTCCTGTTAAATAAGTTACGAGGTAAGTTGCAACAACCTGCGAATAAAGAAGAGGTTTCCACATTCCACCAATGCTGTTTAGTTAGTTATACCTGAACATTTTTTGCAGCTTTTCTGTAATTCAACTAAAATTTTTGATTTGATTTTCGCTAGGCTCGTTTTGCAGAAGCAATCAATGCACAAACATTACGGTTCTATTGATTTTTGCACTGAAATACAACAAAAGTAGTTTCCAGTACGAGTTTATCATATCTAAATTGCTCAACAAACGCTATTGGTTTAATAAGTATTGAACGACATATTTTCGTTTGCAGAGGAAATGAAAAACTTTGCCCGTGAATGGGTGGATCCCGTCTTCCAGTTCACGACACTTCTATTCCTAATAATGGTCCACGTAGCAACGATCATAGGAACCATGATCGGCCTTTCGATTCAATCCTGGATCGTGGGCATAAGTGTCGGTCTTGGATTCTTGATTCTCAGTTACATCACACTTGGTATGATCTGGTTCGCTAGTAAGAGGTACGATTGGGACTGGCCATATAACTTCAACGTCCGTTTGACTAGGCGAATGAATAACCTCAGGCTGGTCCTGCAAATCTTATTTTGTCATCCACCTGGGTCAAGCGATGATACGCTGGGTGCTCGACCAATAAGGTACGTTAATTTTTCTCTCATCATAGAAGAGTGCAGTTTCAGCGTAACTGACTGGTTTGTATCTTGAATATTTGTGAAATGAAATAAAATACGTCCATTTTTTTCATCTTAATCTTTTATTAAAACTTAGAAATTAGTTGATTACATTTTCCATCACTTTTTGGGTAGGTTTCGGGAGGACTACTTTCAATCGCTTCCGTAATATTGTTTTTCAGCTTTTCTACAGTTGTTGGCATAAATCCTATTTTTCAGAAATCCCCATAAAAAAATCAGTTGTTAAATCAGGTTACCTCAACAAATCGAGAAATTAAACTTCCCGTAAACATTGTTCGCAAAAGATTCATTGTTTCCGTAGCTGTGTGACAAGTTGCTCCGTCCTGCTGGAACCACATGTTTTCCAGATTAAATTGTTGGATTTGAGGAGCCAGAAAGTTTTAATAGTAAGTAGTAAGAGAATTACCTGCAGCGTCTTCAAAGAAATAAGGTCCAATGACACCTCCATACTAAATACCGCATCAAACTGTGACTCGACGAGGATGTAGTGGTCGTTGATGGATGACACGACGGTTCTCTAATGCCCAGATACGACAACTCTGTTTATTAACAAATCCGTTCATATCGAAATGGGCTTCATCGCTCATTATCAGTTGTCGGTAAAAATCGTTATTTTCGGTATTAAGCTGCAATATTGCATAACTGTATTGTCGGCGACTTTCACGGTCACTAGGCTGTAGTTCTTGGATTAACTGAATTTTGTATGACCGCAAATGCAAGTTTTTTGTAAAATAGTTCATAATGACGTGCGACGAATACCCAGTTGTTGAGAAGGATATCTGGTAGACGACTCAGGGCGCTTCATTACACTTTCACGAACTCTATCGATATTTTCCGGAGTACGAACAATTCTAACACGGCCCGACCTTGGCAAGTCTTTAACTTCACCTGTTTGTTCAAATTTCCGCACCAACTGACGAATGGTGTTGACACTGGGCACATTATTTAGACCGAAATCTTGTCGCAGCTTCCGAATCGTTGCAACAATCGACCCATTATTTAAGTAAAACGTTTTTACAAAACGGACACGTTGTGCGATCGGGTAGCGCTCCATGATGAATTGGACACATGTGCTTTAAACAACTACTATGGCGCCACCTACTAAAATGCGTGTAGTTATATGTTGGCCACCCTGTATTAAATATTAAAATTATCATTATTGGTGAATCATTCGTCAGTGCATGGTGAATTCCCATCAAAATTAAAGTATTCCATCATTACTCCGGTACCAAAAGTTCAACATTTTGAGCTAAAATGCGGCAGATTAATGTATTGCCAGACGTCGGGAAGCTGTTTGCAGGGATGGTATACTAAAGAATCATTGAATTCATTGAAGAAAACAATGACAAAAATTTAAATTGTATTTAATCAAAAATATTCTACAGAAACAGCAATACAAGTGATGATCTATGACTGAACTGAAAGAAGTATAGATGAGAAAGAATGTATTGTAACAGTACTTTTAGATTTCAAAAGGTCATTTGAGACTATAGATAGGTTAACATTGTTAACGAAGTTACATCGGTTGGGGTTTAAAGGATCAGTATTGAACATTTTACAAAATTATTCAGTAAATAGTATTAATAATAAATAGTAAAAAAAAATTGTCAATATTATGCAAAGCGCTCAAAATATATCAGTACTATTCATTTTACATATAAATGATATCTCTGACATTTTAGAAGACTGCAAAATTCAAATTCTTGCGGGCGATATATTCTATATATCACATAAACATTTTAACAATGCTTTAGAAATGTTGAATAGTGATATTGAAAAAAAAAACATTATTTAGTTAAATGTTAGTAAACTCAGATTAAACACCAATATAACAAAATGTATGTTAATAGGTAAACATTTAGGTGACAATTCAAATAGGCTCATGATTCATGATGATAACATTGAATTAGTCGAATCATTTCAAAAATACCAAAAAAGATAAATTACTTATAGAGAGTTTCTCATAATCCATATATTCCAAAAAAATTGTGTATAACACCATAATTATTATATTATTCTTCAACTGTTTTGTTTACAGCAAATAAATACGTATTTTCAAAATTACAAATTCTACAAAATAATGAGAATCAAAGAAAAACAAATATAAGAATATTATGTCTATGTATGAAGAACTGCGGTGGTTAGATTTCATTTTCATATTCAAATAAAGAAATCACTTATTACTCCACCATTTATAAAACTTCACAATATCAAATAGCTATTATCAGTACTACGAAACTACGGACAGTATAGATTTCCATCTGCAAAATTATCATGGTAGCGTACCTAGCATATCTGTGAAATTAAAAATTCACTTCATCATTCCCCAAAATGCATAGCGATGAAATTTAAAAAGACAAGAATGTAAAACTGCAGAAAATTGATTCAAAATATGTGTAAAAAATAATTATACGAAATTAACATTGTAACATTAATGCTAAAGAAATATTCAACAAACAGACAAACAATTGTAGCTTTATAAATGTAATATGATTCTTTTAGATTTTTATTCACGGATCAAACTAGAGTGAGCAGTACGGCGGGTGGAGAAAACTCTGTAGTACAAATGGTGGGATCATTATATGATGCTATTGAGTTTCAATATGGCGGTTTAGCTACTAGACTTTATCGTGCATTCAAACCAAAACCGGGTAAGAGCCCATTATAAGTTTTATTATTTCTTTGATCATACTTACGTTTCTTCTATGTAAGTGTATATAAAGTTTTAGTATCACAAACTATGATTTTTTTTTGTTAAGGACTTTATTGTTTATTTTAGTTAAATCTTCCTCGCATTGGACTTGGAGAAAGCTATGCTGTTTGCCATATGTTGTGTTCTTTGAAATTACGTTTTTAATGGTAATATTAGGAACTTGTGCCTTGACCATATACCTGATTCACGTCAATTCTGGGAGTCTACAGTAAGTACCTTCATTGTTTGTTTCCATACACTTGAAAACAACATTATTTTTGCATGTGTGCATTTAAAATTAAATATCTCGTTGCAGATTTGATGCTTTTTCATTTGGAAAACCTTTGTCTCTGCACAATTGCTATCTTCAAACAAACTGCGTTTAATTTCAGGGATAGTGACGACGTAACAAGTTTTACATTAAAACTTACATTGATCGCTGCAGCGTTACTACTGGGCTTAACCACCGTCGCAAATATATACACTTTGAGCAAGTTGGTCCGATCAGTATTGTTCTCACAAAGAAGACATTTACAGAGGTCAATTTCCAAGTTGGACACCTTAAAATCAGAGGGATTTCTGCAGACCCTCCGTCAAGAGGTGAGTCGTATTTTATATGCATACTCGTATCATTGCAAATCATGCAGTGAGCTATTAAAACAATTATCAGCCCGTTATAGTCTTCTCAGACCAGCGAATCCCAGTTTTCTGAGTACGCTATATTTTACATGATAAAATGCGTTAATGACAGTGCGTGATGCGTGCGTAATGCGTCAGCTTGACGTGCCAGTTGGAGGTAATCGGTGGATATTCAACGGCTACTACAGAGCATGCATTGCTCGTTTTTCACGATTTAGTTGTCATACAAATCGCTTAAAACGCCATGTTGACGTCGCCAGCAACCATAAGCAAACTAACCTACTGACATGGCGCATGGCGTAGCGATCACGAGCAATACAGAGTCATACTGCTCGCCGAACCGGTGTTTTAATATCGATCACGTGTTTCTCTATGTTAGCATCTTCACAGGAAGATTGTCCGTTCTACCCGAAAAGAACACCGTCTATATTGAAATTTCTGTATTCCTTTTACATATTTGAAAAAGACCACAAAAAGATATTGCTAAGATTCACTTTTGTTCTTTGCTCAGACGATTTTATCATTACCTCATTTTGGAGCGAGACGGAGCTTGCAGGGTCTATTAATTTTATCGCTTACTATTTAATAATGCCATCTTTGCAGTATTAACTTTCTACATAAAAATCTACGTAAACTGCTCTGTGATAGCTTGGTATCAAGTTTCACTAACTATTGTGATGTACTGTATGACCCATGTTTGTAGCAGGTGTCGGTAAGGAATTCTCTCAATCTCACCATAATGCTTTTGTAAGGTTTCTCTGTCTTGTGAGTAGAAGAGCTGACTTCTCCCCTTATGAACAATATGAAGTGGTTGAATCTCAAAAATAGGCAATCTTTACAACTGATGTGTCTAATAATTAAATTTATTGGGATAAAGGTGCTGAAATATTTGTATGTACGATATATGGGGTTACTTAGTATTCCTATATATAAGACTTCCCCATTTGAGCGTTCATTCAGCTACAATTGTGCTAAACAATATTTATATGAGAAACAGTGTAGGCAAACACCGTGAATTGTAAATAATTATGTTGTAATAATGGTTCTTATTGTGAACTGTCTTCTACTTTTTTTATTTGTATTTCTTTATTTCAATCCAGTTTGTAATTATATATGTAATATAATGTAGTGACTCAGGTCGCCAGCTAAGTGGAACAGAGCTGTTTGACTGAGGATAAAATAAAGCTGTTTATTATCATCATTATTATTATTATGTTATCGATCAGTTTAATTTGGTGGCATGGGCAAAATCGTCGGAACTAGTCGGTACGTCAGTTGGTTGCCATATATATTAGTTTGGCTAGTGAAGAAGGGCCCTTAAACTGCTTCCAGCTTCTTAAGTCGACACTTTGTTCAAGGTGATCTTGATGAAGGATATGGTGAAATGCTTAGACAGCCTGAGCTCACAGCAAACCAGAATGGTCGTGGTAGTCGACGGCTTGGACAGCTGCGAGCAAGACAAAGTTCTGCTTGTGCTAGACACCGTTCACATGCTCTTCTCCGATGCCAATACGCCCTTCATTGTGATATTAGCCATAGACCCGCACGTGATAGCTAAGGTGAGTTCGCATGTTATCGATGCTCATCATCTAGAAACTTCATCTCATCTATATGATTAATGCTTACGTTTATATTCTAACAGGTGGCTTGGGAGAAGGTTAGTTCATATATGAATGTTGTTTTCAGTGTTGTCCTATTTCTATGTGGAGGTACAGTTAGTGATTGAAAGATGCAGATATGTTAGTTAACTATCTCATTGAAAGAGCCACAAATACAATGAACAAAAAATTGGCTGATATCAGTCTACTTTATACAGGCAGTCATCGTATAAAAGGTTCTCCAAAAAGTGTTGAAATCAATATAAATACTCATTAGATATGCGTCATGTAGCCTAGTCAAATAATCTTGAACTGCGGCAGCCTAGAAATTCCCTTAAAGTTTCTTCTAAAAAATGTTGCCGTGGCATCCGAAATGTCAGCAAAATTATCACTTGTGGCTTCATTTTTCCATCAAATTAAGTGAAATCGATCTTGGAGCTTCTATATCTCCAGCATACGCATTTTCTTGTGCACTGATTGTACCTCATATGGGAACTTGTTTCTTCTAGTTACTTGGCTCTGTATCATGCTCTACTCGTGCCAGTTGTGAGCTTATCTTTTGTTCTTATTATTTGTTCTCTCTAATTTTATAAACAAACATTCTGATACACTTCATTTAGAGGCAGAAAACATTCATTGAGTAATATTCTGTTTCAAATTAATCACATGATAGAATACTGGCGCTAACGAGATAGTCATATTGTGTTGGAATTACAGTCTAAAAACTGATATCGTCATTATTTATCGACATTCCATTAAGTGTCCAAATGATTCTGTTCCTTCGAAATTTATGTAGCTTTCTGATGCTTGTTTCACATTTACAAATTTTTCAGATGCTCAATTTTGATAAGCAAACTATAATGCTCCATGTTTTTGTCGGTATCAAGTAGAGTTTGACCAATGTTAGTAATTACAGATATTTTGGTGAATCTATAAAACTTCCGTTACTGATATATTTACTAAAGAAAATATATAGTTCAGGATATCTAGAATTTAAGGAAAATTATTGTAATAAGCTGTTTTACATCGGAATTATACCGAGAGATGCAAAACATTTTGTTGGCTAACTTTATTATTGAGGGCAAAATTTTTTTTATAGACCTTTGGGTGCCGAAATTACATTTTCTCTCAAATAAATGACCGTAATGTCATCAACATTAAGTGTCACATTTAAGTTTATTAAACTGCCTGCGCAAAAGTGTATCGTTTCATATTGCGACTGCATACACCTTACAAAGGTGAGGCATTCCACAGTAAATTCAAATGATGTTATGGTTTCATATACTCTCAAGAACATAATGCCGCTGTAAAATAGCTTAATAGAATTTTATCTAAAACAGATCCGATGTTTGGCTAGTTAGCTTGGTCTAATACATCAATCATATCAAAACTTCACAGCAAGGTTTTAACGTAATGTATCAGAAAGTTTGAATACACGTTGAACCATTTACTCAATGATACTCTGATGGTAATGATAATGAAAATTGATGCAGGCGGTAGAAGTAAATACGAGGAGGCTCTTCAGCGAGAATAACATCGGCGGTCACAACTACTTAAGCAATATGGTTCACTTGCCGTTCTATCTGCAAAACTCTGGCCTTCGTAAAGTGAAAATCGCTCAACAGACAGCGTCTGCACACCGAAAGCAGACTGGCGGTTGGTCAGAAAATGAAGAGAATCTTACCAACTTCCTCGCGAGATCAGTGAGTAAATCTAATACCTGAATCTTATCCTGTGGTTGTCTCGCCGATGAATGTCCATGTTTTACAGGCCGTCAAATAAAACCACAAATGTAATGCTGAAATATTTACCGACAATGACATTGTCATTCTGGCTTCGGAAAGAGACCACCTAGGTGGCCAAAACGTCAGTATATATTTCGATGTGGTTTTATTTTGCGCCCACCAAAACGAGGATATTCATCAGTAAGTACAACTTTATTAAAAAAAGTAATCCGTGCTACTGACAGAGAATGTACATATATGGTAGATTTTTGTAACCTTTCCATTATTCTCGTTAAAATTGTGTAACTAGGGAATGGAAAATTGGCATATTGAATATTGAAAGCAAATGTTATGTACTCCGTTGAACAAGCTGTATATTTTTATTACTATGGTTAAACGTATTTGGAACCTTTGTGCAAAGGTGATACACAAAAAGCTTGACGTGTCAGTTTGAAACGTTTCACGTTTTTTTGTATTTTTGTAGTCATCAAGTAGACGCTTATCGAACGAGAAAGCGTTGATGTCCAGCCAAGAGAACTTGAGCAAGTTCCCTAGAAAAGGGTCACGCAAACTGAAATTGAGCGAATCGGTTGCAAGTTCTATAGGATCTAACTTGAACAAAATTGGCGGTGCCCAGGATCTCACAAAGATGTTACTTACAGACGATTATTTCAGTGATGTTAACCCCCGCTCTATGAGAAGACTGATGAATGTTGTGTATGTTACAGGTACAAATTATTTCTGACTCTGTCTATGCTCAGACGAATTATATTCTCTTTATATGTTATAACATAGTAACATTAGACTACATTAGAAAAGAAACAAGATTCTTTGATTACCATTGAAGTTATCAATAATTGAAACTAATTTCTAGGTCGTTTACTTAAAGCATTCCAAATAGATTTTAACTGGTATCGTTTAGCTTCGTGGATAAATATCACGGAACAATGGCCGTTTCGTACTTCGTGGATCATATATCATTATGAAGTGTATGAAGATTCCCTAGAGGATAACACTTCTTTGAAATCAATATATGACAAGTAAGTATTGTCCAGTCCTTTAGATTTTTCAATTCAAAAACCGAATTTTTGGTAAGAATTTCGCTTAATTCTACATATTAGTTTATTATATACGTTATCACAGTGGTTTCGTATGACTCGATCATCGCACAATTTGTTTTAATTTAAGGATTCGTCCAACCATACCGTTGGTGAAAGACACGGAACCGCTGTTAGAACTGGACCGGGACGAGAAGAAGTTTGATATTTTTTTATCCTTTCATCGCTCAAGTTTGCTTGTTGGTGATCTCAAAATATTTCTGCCATTCACAATTAATTTGGATCCGTATCTCAAAAAAGTGATCAAAGGTAAGTCGGGAAACCATTGTGATTATCTGCTAAAACATTTTGTAAATGATATTGATCATGTTAGTGAGAAATCCATGAATTTCGATGGATTAGATAAGAAAAGTACGTTTTGCTTGTTCTATTAAGATCCAGAGGGCTAATTCAGACAGCTTTGAGAAGTTCTTGGCAAGGTAGATGTGCTTGTGCATCGGTCAACAAGGCTACATCGCGCTATTACGTTTTGTATAACCCGATGATTAATATAAATCTCATTTTGATCATTTGAAAACTTCCCACCACGGATTTACCGAAAACCACTGATTAAAGGAGAAAACTCCGAGACACGTCAAAAGATTTGTCAAGGAGGACAACTTTTTAACCAAAAACTACTTCATTCCCTTTCACCCTCGGTCCCCCAGGGTCATTTCCTTAAAAAAAAATAAATGACAAGCGGTATCAAGTAGTAGTTGTTTGAAAGGATTTTCGAAATCCTTTATTTTGACGTTTGATTCTTTGAAATCAGTCGATTCGTTTTCGAGAAAATTAGAAAAATCTTTATTTATCTTAATTTGTTCAGGTAGAAAACAAAAACACACGAAAATATCACTTTTCATATCAATAAGTGTTCAAAATTTTGCCCGTTAGGGTTTGCCAAATCTACAATTCATTTATGATTTAAAACTGTAACTACCAACATAAACAGCAATTCGGAAGATAAGACGTGGCAACAACCAAATAACAACCCCAACGTTGCTTCTTTTCAACAACACACATATCCTGGGCAAACTGTATTTATTGTTATACCTGTTTAGTTATTTGTTGCTAAGGGAAAGAAATAATTTAATTTGCTGCCAGTTACCTTTGTGACAATCTTGGGATAGTGAAAATTAATTTATTGATTCAGATCTTACTCCCAAAATGGTTTACACACTAGCCGAAAGAGTGGAAATGATTCTAATTTATGGTGTCCAAAACCAATATGCTCGGCATACTGCCGTCACGTATAACGCCAGAAATCCGGGGAAGATAACTTCGCATAGGTATGTTTTGGACCTTGTTACTAAATTTACTCAAACCGGATCTGTTGCAAATTAAAAACGTGATCATGGGAGAGTTTTGGTCATTTTGGAATAAATGCTAATACTTCATTAGGCATAATTGTTGTTGCGATTGGTATTTCATTAGGCTCTGTACACACAGTTACTAAATTCCCTAATTTTCATCCATTCAAAATCAAAATATTGCAAGAGTTGACCGAAGATGATTTCGATAAGCAAAGATGAGTTTTGTGAACAAACGACTGCAGCGATGAATGATAATACCATTCATGTGAAGAATATGGATTTGTTAATAAGCATAACTGTAGGTATTGGAGCAATGAAAATCTTCATGCTTTTGTAGAAGGGCATACCCAGTACACCCAAAAAATTAATTTGTGGGCAGGCATTTTAGGGAACAAAGTGATTGGGCCATTGTTTATTAATGGTAATTTGAATTTATTAATTTGGATGTGTTGGAAAATGCCATCAATCTGCTTATCACTGAAATCATTGAAAACCAAATCTAAGAGGATGGAAACCCTATACTTGATGCGGCTGAAATATATTTCCAGCAAGACGACGCTTCTCCTCACTATGTTCTTCCGGTTTGGAAATGGCTAGACGACGAGCTTCCAGATAAATGGATAGGGCAAAGAGGGCCTATAGAATGACATGCTAGATCTCCTGATTTAACGACTTTAGACTTTTTTCTATGAGGCCATTTGAAATCTGTTGTGTTTACTCCCCAACCTAAAAGTTTGAATGAACTTCGTCAACGCATTATCGAAAGCTGCCAGGATAACCGTCATGTTTTTGAAAATGTCCTTCAGGAATTTGAACATCGCCTATATCATTGTTTGCCAATAACATTTGGAACACTTATCGAAATAAAAAGTGATATTTTCGTGTGTTTTTGTTTTCTATTTGAACAAATGAGGATAAATAAAGATTTTTCTAATTTTCTTGAAAACGAATCGACCGAGCTTAAAAAATCAAACGTCAAAATAAAGGACTTCGAAAGACCTTTCGAACAAGCTATTCTTCGATACCCCTTATCATTTAAAATTTTTGAGGGGATGACCCTGGGTGGCAGAGGGTGGAAGGGGGTGAAGTAGTTTTTGGTTAAAAAGTTATCCCCTTTGAGAGATCTTTTGACGTGCTTTGGCGTTTTCTTTTAATCAGTGGTTTTCGGTAAATCCGTGGTGGGAAGTTTCCAAATGAACACCCTATACTTAGTCATGTTTACAGAAGAAACTCAATGCTTGGAAGAAGATGGCATAACGGCACTTCCTACAGGCTCATTTACATCAGCAAATCGCACTGGAATGTTTACCCCGCATCCGATGACCTCTTGGACCGATTGGATGACACCCAAATCCTCTCTATTGTCAAAGAGGGTGTCGCGTTTACCAAAAACAGCTCCGACTCCAGTAGCCTATCCACAGATTACGCCGCCTATTGCACCAGTAATGAATTGGCATCACTGGAGTGATCCGATGATGTACCACCACCAGCAACAGGTGCCTGTTGGACCTATCACTGTATTACAAGTAAGTGTTACACCTATTCTTCACAATTAAGTCAATATGCCTGATCACTAATATGTAGAATATTCTAGAACACGCGGCTTTGAAGGCTGTAACATCTGCATTAAACTTTTGTGAGCAACGATAGCTTATGCCAAGGAGAATGATCAATAGTACCCAGTAAATCAATTTCCTGCACGCTTGTTATGTGATCACAATCCATCAAAGTAACACATGGAAAAAGTATCTAAAGATCCTATTAAATTTTCATTATAAAAATTGAGTGAGATAGGAGTTATTGAATAATCCCCAACAGAAACAATTTTGAGATGATAAAATTTACTATTTATTTTATATTAATTTTCAGCCGGAATTGTTAGAAACAAAACTGTCCTCGTTAGACGTAGATGGTGTATGTAAACTAATTTCAAAAATGGAGGATTTGAATCCCGAGGCCTTATCTAAATATATCAAGACTATTAAGGAACAAAATATTAATGGAAGGGTGCTCCTATACTGTGATTTAGATGATTTAAAGAAGGTACTATTCAGATATAAAATGGAAAATATCTTATGACCGAACTTATTAAAATTATTTTTTTCTTTTGCTTTCATTGAAAACCTTAGTTAAGTGTAGTTTAAGTTAATCTCCATTACTAACTGTATCTTATTTTTCAGTTGTTAAGGATGAGCTTTGGTGACTGGGAGATGTTTAAAGTATTCTTAGTTTCGTTGAGAGAAAGTGAGATGACGAGCGTTTTGAGTCGAGATGAAATTGTTAAGCCTACTAGAAGCAATAAAGAAAGAAAGAGTAAGTGGGCAATCAATGAAGTATAAGAAAATATGTGGTGCATCTATAATCTTATGTTTTAATTTTCAGGTAGTATAAGTAAATCAAGTAATACTAGTGATAAGGAATGTGGAAAGATGCAAGTGGATGGATCTCAAAGAAAACAAAGCAATATAGAAAAGCAGGTGAGATTTTTTAGAATTGTTTAATTCCTTTTCACAGCCACGATTCAATGCGAATTCGCAATATGAACAGTTAATTTCTATACATATACTAGGTCACTGGTTGCAGTTCGAAGCAATAATTGGGTTCATCTGTTAGATTAATAAGTCCAATGAAATAAACGATAACCGAAAGTTTTATTAGTTTTACTGCAAGTCAAATATTTTGTTTTGTTTTTTGGTGTAATATTTTTATCAAATCTGAAATCATTGTAGTTTGTTTGCTTATTTGGTTTGGTGAAGATTTATTTAGTATTAATGCTACGTCAATTTTGTTTAATTATTTTTCGGCACATTTTTTGAATCAATTTTCTGTAATTTTAAAATTCAGACTTGCTGGTTATGCTACTATTACAATTTTCCAGATAAAAATCTATACTACCTCTAGTTTCATAGTTATAAGGATGACAGTATAATTTTGTTTTCTAAACGTGATGGTAAATGATTTTTTAATTTGAATATAAAAATTAGAACTACTGAACATATAACTATATAACTAAATAACATATACATTTTTTGGCTCTCAACTACCGCAGTTCTAACAAACACTTTGTATTTATTTTTATTTAAAGTGATAGATTCATTTTGAAGAATTTGTAATTGTGTTATCATTTACTGTAAACAAAATAGTTGAACAATATAAAAAATGGGGAAGAATTAGTTATACACAATTTTTTGGAATACATACTATAGAAGTGATTCATCTTTTGATATTTTTAAAATAATGTATTCATGGTGCTCTTAAAACAGTAATTCACTATCCACATATATATCAAGATGTTTGAATGATGCGACTGACATTCTTTTAATTTTAAGTTAGGTTCAGCTCTCTTGTCATCTGTTTAAAAATCTTACATTTTATTATTCTAAATATGTACATGCTTTCAGTACCAGGTATGTATGTTAGCAGAGCTTATGATATGGTATATGCCTAACTAGAACTAAAGACAACATTTCGTAAATATTATTACCTTTACAATAATAGACTATGTCAGATAATACTGTTGGCATGGTTGTTGTGAGTAGAATAATATTAGGTTGAATTGAATATTTGTACATCATAAAATATCTAAATAGTTTAAACTATATTGCATGAGAATGTGTATCTAGTAGTATATATTAGATTTGTAATACATTTTATTAAATAGCAAGTTAGGCGATAAATTAATTTCAATTTGCCTACTGAGTGGTCCATTCCACCAATTAGAAAGCAACTATCCTAGTTCAAGATGGAAGCTAAACATTAAACCATAAAACTATTTTAATAAGACTAGCATAATGCGTTCTAGGGATATGTAGGTTCTTAACGATTTTTGCCGTAGCCTGATCTTGCATTTCTATTTGGGAAACGAAAAGTGTCAGAACATTCGATTTTGGCAGATAAGTTGTACGATATTTACGCGTCATGCATATATTTCAAATCGACCTTTAAATGATCCAAACGAGAATCAATACAGATGAGCAAAACCGAATTATAGAAAGGGAGGATCAAAATATAATGTCAGAGGTTGCATCAAGTTTTAAATAACTTTGCAGGTAACCTTAGAAGAGCAAATGATCTGCGGAGCTCTTCAAACTCTGAACGAGGAAGCATGTGAGGATGTCCTGGAAGAAACGGAGGAAACCAAGATTACTATTGATCCGGACGTGCCACAAACTTCTGTCATCCCGCCAAGTCCTGAAGGAAACCAAGGTGAATGGGAATACGTGCCATATTTAACCGGTAAAATGATTACCGGTGATAAGAATGATTCTTCCGATACGTCGGATATCAGTTAAAGTTCTCTCCTACCGTGGCATTTAATTCGTGCCCTCACAGAAGTTTGTTCTTCTCACGAAAAGCTTTCGAAGTAGTGTCGCAATTAGGTTTCAGGTCAACAAACATCTGTATAATAAGACTAGACCGCCTGGGGCTCACAATGAGGTACTATGGGGTCGAAGGATATTTCCAAAGTAAGACAAAAACGGCACTTTGTTAAATCATGTAGTTTTATTCAGTTTAAATTTAAACAGTGAAGTAAAATCAAATTTTAAAAACCATCAATTGTCAACTGATATTTTTGACGTTATTTTGGTTTCGTTGATAAGTAGGGGAAATGGCGGGTCGTAAACATTGTTTTAACTAAAAGGGATCGCGCTTTAGATATGTTTGGGAAACACTAGACTAGACATTTCGGAGTAAGATCCAAGAGCTGCCTGCAGTAACTTATCTATTGCAAGACAAAACATTGAGTTGAGTTTGTATGTACTTTGAATGCCAGCGTACCTGGTAAGTTGGGTAGACGGCCGGTTTACCGATACCATGCAAGAAAGGTAAGTAAAAATAGGACTAACTTAACTAAAATTCTGATGACTGATTTTTATATATACCACTGTAAAACGTTATTTCAAAGTAATGTCCAGCGCCTGCAGGCATAGAAAAAAATCATATAAAAGTTATGAGGTTTAATATAAGGTTTTTCGTGGTAGACTTTTTTGTATACAGGCTGCTCAGAAAATTTCTTCCGAATTTGTTTTTTAAACAAGATGCTTTATTTGATAGTAGACATTATGTATTCAAAGAAGGCATAGAGTGAATAATTTTTACCCGACTGCCTCAGGTGGAGGGTTAAGTTTTTCACGCGTGGTCATGTATTGATGTATCCAAAAATTCTATTTTACGAGCTGCAGGCCAATCGGCTTGATGAATTTTAACATACGAGGTGCTGTTCGATTCGTCTTAGGAGTGCAACTGGCAATGGCTATATTAAAGTTTTATAAAAACAAAATAGCCACCAGAATTTAGGGGGGTCCTATTTTTACTTACCCTTTTTACCTGGTACCGGCAAATTGGCCGTCTACACAACTTGGCCGGTCCGCAGGCGTTCAAAGTATATATAGATGCTACTCAATGCCTCACGTGTTTTAATTCACCGCACAGTGATATCCAAACTCGAATCTGATGTAGAAGTAGAACAGTTTCTCTCATTCTACCTGTGATATATGCTGAGACCTAGACTCTACCAATCTTTTGATAGCGTTTGGTCCATTTGCATTGTAAATAAAAGATAGTGCGTATTTGCGCTGATTTCTAAGTTTTGAACACACTTTTGATAGAATGTACCTCGCGATAAAGTATGAAAATAAATTATTCCCGAGTAACCCGCCATAAAGTTACACACCAAAATTCAGTAACATCAGCTTATCTTTTCTTTTCGAGCAACACTGCTACAACAGCATTATAAGAAAATACACTTTTGATAGACTGTACCTCACGATAAAGAATGAAAAATATCTTATTTCCGAGTAATCCGCAATAAAGTCACACACCGAAATTCAATAGCAAACCAGTGTGGTACTTATATCTCAAATGCAATAGCATTAATGATTTTTTATGCTTGAGCATTATTGTGTGCTTCCAGCCCTGCAATAGTTTTATGCTGTACAACAGTAGTGGTGTAATACATTTGCCAGTAAGCAGCGGTTTTCAGTTGGCTGTCTGATTTTATGGTTTTTTTTTGATCAAATGCAGCAAACTCTCAAATCTATTCCTGGGCTAATATGATACAGCAGAAAATTACCTGCTTGCACTCAATGACTCAATAAAAACAATAATATCATTCAGAATTAAAATCCTGTCATTAGTTTTTTTGGTATTATAATATCAATATGTTACTTATCTCTGGTTTGAATGATCTAAAGTGTGGTCCAGGCCATTTTTTGTACAATAATTCAGATATCGAATCTATGATTTATGACAGCGAATGATATTTGATTGATTTGATATTCCGAATTTGGAGTAAGGTCAAATTAATATCAGACATGAAAAGCCAATCTTGCTGAGTGGTTTTCAAAAGAAGAACATCACTTCTTAAGGGTATTCATATCAGTGTTCCAGATTAAGGCTCTATTGCTGTATTTTTGTAAGATACTTGTAATTGTTCCTAATATATATTATGTATATTGAATCATTGAAGAGTATTTTGTACATAACGCGCAGTTATTGAATTCACTTTTTTCATATTGAATAATACTTTAAAAATGGCAGAGAAACTACCGTAGGATTCTATAGGCAGGGTATCCAATAAATACCACGACAAACTTAAGGAGAAGGTAGGCTTTGGATTGACCTCCCAAATAACAAAACCTTACCTATATAAAAGTGTCGCCATTTTTGGGATATTTAATTTTTTCTTAAATTTTGAAAAAACGAACCTTTTAATCTGTGGTCTTTAGCTGTATGTACAAATAAGGTTATACTTTGGTCATTTTTTCTATAAAATACTTCTATATAGTTGCTTTATCATATACAAAAAATGCAATGTAGTTAAAAGATTTCAAAGAACCATGATTAATTAAGGACTATTTTGGGATTTATATCCTTCTGATATTTTTTCCTCAACTTTGACCATCTGTGGTGAAACTAAAATGTACTGGGCTATAACTGCATTATATTGAATAAAAAGATTGCTAATTGAATACAGATTTCAGAAAGGCACCACATGTACTGTTTGAAATAGAAAAAAGTGATAGCTGCTTTTGTAAGTAACTGACACACACTACAATGTAATTACTGGATTTAAATTCAAGTTGCACTGGTTACCGATCAGTGACATGCTAAATAGTACAAAACTACATTAGTATTACCTGCACGTGATATGATTTTATGAGAGCTGAGGAAACAATATCAGAAGGTTCTGGATCCCAAAACAGTCCTTATTTTATCATGGTTCCTTAATATCTTTTAACTACATTGCATTTGTATATGATAAAGCAACTATCTAGAAGTATTTTATAGAAAAAATGAACAAAATATAACCTTATTTGTCCATGCAGCAAAAGACCACAGTTAAAAAGGTTCGTTTTTTTTAAATCTAAGAAAAAAATAATTATCTCAAAAACGGCGAGACTTTTATATAGGTAATTTTTTGTTATTTTGGAGGTAAGTCCAAAGCCTACCTTCTCCTTAAGTTTATCGTAATACTTATTAGACACCCTGTATAACTAATGGTTTTCAGTATTCTATAACGAATGCTTTGCATGACAAAAAAAAGGTTCATTTTGGCTGAAATTGTAGTGTATTGCTCAATATCAACCTTGATTAAATCTTCACTTGCAGACATTCTCAAAGTTGTTAATTTTAGAAATATGGGAAATGTGAGAGAACACGGCATAACAGGTTATGAGAAATCAACATGATTGTTGTATACTTGCTTATATGAACACTTGTACATTATCTTGATGCTTGGAATCCATACTTGCTCTTTCTGGCGATATTATCTAGAAACATAATGCATGTGCATGTTAACAGTAGTAAGTTTTGACTTTAGCAATCAGTTTGGAGGTTATAGGATACAACCTTCATGATTTCAGATTTACAAAATTACCTGTCAGCGGAAACATGGCGTTTGAGCTACATGTATAGTCTTCTCACGTGTGACCTTCATAAGCTGCTTGTTTCAGCTATTATTAATCAAATTAGGATATACATTATATAGTCTAATCCTATTAGTCGAAAATAAATAATTTTAAAGTCTGGTTTTATTGCTGCAAGTTGTTCAAGGGTGTATTTAAAATATGGACGCATAAAATGGGTACACCAATTTGTGTGGAAACTTTTTATTCGACAACAAAGAATGAGAAAACGTGTTTTCTTTTGAGATTCAATCGAAAGTGATGGCAGGAACGAAAAAAAAACTCTTTATATTGGATTTTTAGGTATTTATGAGACATACAAAATGAGACCACACGTAAAAAGATATAGCAAAAAAGTTATGGCCGAAAACTGAGGCAAACTCAATAAATTAGTAGAGATGGCAGGAAAACAGGTGTTTTGGGATAAACAATTAGAAATTCTCAACAATCTACTCCAATTTTGTTGTGGTTATTTAGAAGTACGAATCCTACGAATTTGAAGAATTTCAAGTATCTGCGAGAAACCATCGTCGCATTACCAACAAGTACCAAAACCTGCATTTTGCATCGTTTTTCAGCTATAACATTTTTGCTATTAGTCGGATCTTTTTACGTGTGGTATCATTTTGTAGGTCTCATAAATACCTAAAAATCTTATATGAAAAGTTTTTTCGTTTCTGTCAACATGTTCGATTGAATCCCCCCCCAAAAAAAAAAACAAGTTTTGGCATTCTTTGTTGTCAAATAAAAAGTTTTTCGACAAACATTGGTGTACCCATTTTATGAGTCCATGTTTTAAATACCCCCTTGAATAACTTGAACGAATGAAACCGGACTTTACAATTATTTCGCGAAAATTTGCTGATATGATTAGACTAATACTGTTTGTACTTTCCGCCAATTTGATTGCTTTCCCTTTTACTTCCCACGCCTACTGGAGAGGAATTATTGTAATCGCGAAAAACTTCTAAAATGAAATATTATATGACATGCACATCATGGAAAAACTTTGTAGTGTTTGAAAGCCGGTCCAGTGTCGGTGGGGAAAAAGTAAAAAACGACGCTCAAACTTTTGACGTTTCAGAGGCTTCTGATCATTTTCGGAACAGTTTTTGTATGGGTTAGGGGTTGCAGTGTGTGGGGGAGGGTATATTTTTGACATTTTTTGTATCATATTCGTAGCTAACTTTTTCTCAGAAGGGCTAAGTTGTGACGAATATAATCCTTTACGTACTGATAGTGTTGCGTGGGAAGTACAGACTCAACTTACCTGATGCCATTTTTTATTTATACGCCACGCATCTTTTCTGCTAAATCACATCCTCTTCAAGTTATAATAGCATGAATGGCCTTTCTGATGTCTCACATCATTTGTCGTAAATTTTCTTCCAATTTGTTTCAAAATCAAAAAGACCGCTTTGAGCTCAGTTATCTCTGTAACTTTGATACAATTTTATTATGGTTCACTATTTGATATACTGGAATCGTTTTTCTGTGGTTTGAGAACTCTCCTAGGATGTTTTTGTATCCCATGTAGCGTCTTTTCACCTTCCAAAACGAAATTATTTTTGCACTTTTTAGGATTGCATTTGTATTGTTTCTGACAAACCCAAAATAAAAGCTTTAACCATATCGAATCTTCTAATAACTTAGATATTGATTTGCATTTTTCCGCTTGGAACCATTTTTTATGTTTTATGTTTATTAAATTTTATTAGTAATAGATTTCTTGTACAATACATACGAAAATAAAGTACCTGAATAAATTTGCAGTTTTATTGTGTTTATATTTTCACTGTTTGTCGTAAGTGAATTCAATAACTGTAATTAGCATGTTCTTAACAACCTCTCTGTGTGTGACTGCATGTTTGTTATGTGCACTAATATCATCACAGCAAATATTTGTCCAAATTGCTTCATCATAATACTTATTGATGTTTATTTTGTGGATGTGGCTAATTTATACCTCGACTACTAACAAATTTTAATGGTGCGAAAATATAGATAGAATATCCAGTAACGGTGGTTATCTCTCTGTTTCTTATCATTATTATAACTAACAAATGCTATTGATACAGAACAATGCAATTACTCCATGTTGACGACAGGAAGATGTGAATGAAAATTTTGTAAATAGCCTTCTCTGCTTATTGAGCAGTGTATAGAGGATAGTGGATGTAAGTAATACGACAAGCGGATGGTATGTTTTATTAAAATACAATAGAATGAACTTATGAATTCAAAAATTATATACCCGAAACATTGATCATGTAATGTTTTATAAAGTAGAACAGACCCAAGCTTATAAATCCAGGAGTTAGATACTTAAATCGTTGATCACTGATGCTTGATGAAATTATCCAAGCTGCACCTATAAGCCAAAATATACTTTGTAATGTATACTAAATGAAAGCTTATGGTAAAATGCTCGTTTCGATTAAGTCCATGCTTCAATTTGGAAAAACAATGAAAAATGAAAATGCCCATTTAGCCACGAATAAACTAGTGAGGTGGCTATATCCAACATTATGAGCGCACATATATTAAGGGAGGGGGTAACCTGTTAGGCTAACAGACCCAGTCAATCAGTTTGAAATGAAGTTGACAGCTGTTCAATGCATTGAGAGAAAATATAATGTCAACGTAATTATGTTTTGAAGAGTAAAGAAACACACGGCGTTCGTTGTCCAGGGAACGGGAACGCTATTCGATCAACACGCGGTGGACCAAAATGGAAACATCGTTTGCCTGATAGTGGAATATATGCGTGGTATCTATGGTGAATTCTGTGTCATGTAGTTTCAACTGAGGTCTGACAATGGTGCTCATATTTCGCTGTCATTTTTCAGATCAAAAGAGGATTTTTAGTTTAAAATTCAAATTGTTCCTATCCTCAAGTCGACCAAATGTGCACTACTTATAGAGAATATGCTTCCATTATATTATAATCAGAAATATTGGGGGTATGAATAATAATATATATTTACTCATAAAATACAACAATAGAAGGGAGGATTAAATCAATATGATAATCCATAGAAAGCTGTATGTATTTGAGATCATGAAACTGTTTCAGTAATATTTATCTTTTAACTTCTTTTCCTCTTGACCTGAATCTGCAAAATTGTCTTGAATCCACGTTTGGGCTCTACCTCCAACAATGTAAACAGATAGACGAAATATCTGAAAATTCACAAAATCGTTCTTATTTTTTTCTGATATTAGTTGAGGTGGGATTGCAAAATAAATTGCACATTAACATTCTTCTCTACAAAGTGTCATATCGGATTGCTGCACAGGTGAATATAGTTTTTAATTCCGATTACAAAAGTATATAATGTTTATGATATAAAGTTATTCAAAAAACTAATATTTCATAGATTGCTTTGGAAATGAAAGCTTATCCCATGTTAATTCGTTTACATCAGTGTTTGCCAAAGTGTGGGCCCGACCCCCTGGCGGTTGCAATATAGAGGATCTAAGGGGGCAGCCGGAAATTTCCAAATGAAGACAAAATAACCGCTTTGTTAAATTATGTATTTTTATGTTAATAACGCTGAAAATAAAAATTAGCAGTTATTATAAAACGAAATATAAATCTAAGTATTAAAGTCC